AAGAAAGAAAAATGCATATTTGACGACTGCAGCGAGCTGTATGGGCACAGCTGGGTACTACTTTATAGTATGTTCATTCTACTCACTGGGGTTTATGCCTAAAGTCAGACTTGGGTTCATGTATAGGTATGTGTCAGCTGTGCTAGCTATTGGATATATTTAGACTAATTAAGTTCATTGGCAGAACAATCGAATGGGGGGGGAGGCATGGAGGGCAACCATGGATGCCAGGGACAATGGGGGAGGAGGATGGGACATAGCAGAGGGTGGGGGATGGGGAATCAAGGATGGCAAAACAAAAGGCAAGGTATGCAGGACATAAGAATTGGAAAATTATTTGCTGAGAACATGTATGTGGATGTGCTTGATTGAGCCAATGCACAGTGTATTTTGGATGGAAAATTCATTTGTGTGTTGTGATGGTGTATAGTGAATTAATGTAGAAAATGAATAAACTTTAAAAAAAAGGAACAAGCAAACCAATCCTACACAAACTTTTCAAAAAATAGGAGCAAGAAACAATTCCCAACTCATTTTATGAGGTCTGCATTACGCTAATGCAGAAAAAAAAAAAAAAGGACAAGAAAAGACTAATATCCCGCATTGACATAAGTTCACAACAAAATACGAACAGATCAAGCAATATGTAATACATCCTACATAGGTAGGATTTACATAGAGAATGTGAGGCAGACTCAACATTTGAAAATCACTATAACACACTGTATTACAGACTAAAAACAGACTAAAAAGGGAAACAAATCATATGAATAGATGCTGAGAAAACGTTTATCTGACAAAATTCAACACTTATTAATGTTATAGATTCTCCAAAAAATAGGAATGAAGAGCAACTATCTTAAACCTTATAGACCCAGCCTCAGTCGTACAGGCAGTAGCATACTGTTCTGAAGTGCTAGAAGCCACAAGACCAACTTTGGGTTTTAATTCCTAGTTGACCTGAAAAATGCTGGGCATATGTGTCCAAACTCCTGACTGGTCAGAGGACTTAGGGAAGGAGATTGCAACATGACAAGATCCTCTCAAGGATGTGTGTGTGTGTGTGTGTGTGTGTGTGTGTGTGTGTGTGTGTGTGTGTGTGTGTGTGTGTGTGTGTGTGTGTGTGTGTGTGTGTGTGTGTGTGTGTGTGTGTGTGTGTGTGCCTCACAGGCACATGCTCTCTCTCATAAATGTAACTGACTTCAAAAAATATTTTTTAAGTATTTCTGCTAATGATACTTTATGGTATAAAGACTAGCTGGTTTTCTACCAAGATTGGAATATGGCAAGTACATCCAGTCTCACTTCTATTCAACACCATACTGGAGGTATTAGCCTTAACAGAAGAAAATGAAAGGCATACAGATTGGGAAGGAAAATGTACAGCTGTTTATTTTAGTATGGTGTAGCACAGAAAACTCAAAAGAACCTTCATTTTAAAAAAGAAACTAATAGGCCAGCTGCAGTGGCTCAGCAATAACACAAGGCTATGATGTTGAAACCACATGAGAAGTACCCAGGCTCATATGCTAAGACCTCCCTGTACATGTCAGGTGTGTATACACATTTGTGATCCTGGTTGGTTAGGACTGGGGTATACTTGCAGCATAAAGACACTATTGGAGGTGCCTCTTTTTCATTTTTGGAAGAAATAAACTTAAAAACAAAATTACCAGAACAAATAAACAAATGTAACAAGACTGT